GTTGGAAAATGTTTTCTGTGTAAATATGCACAAGGAGTGTACTCTGAGTGACTTAATTTGCTGGCTCCCTCCTGGTTTCCATAACAAAAAGAACAACAAGAACAACATTACTTTCAAATCTTCTGATATGAGACTGTTTTTAGGGTTAGGGATCCTCTGAATATTCTTGTCAGTTGTTGTTGTTGTTAGTAGTGAAGTCATGTCCGATCCATCACGACCCCATGGACAACATTCCTCCTGGCCTTCCTGTCCTCCGCCATCCCCCAGAGTCCACTTAAGCTCACACCGACTGCTTCAGTGACTCCATCTAGCCACCTCATTCTCTGCCGTCCCCTTCTTCTTTTCCTGTCAATTGTTCCCAGCATTAGGCTCTTCTCCAGGGAGTCCTTCCTTCTCATTAGGTGGCCAAAGTATTTGAGTTTCATCTTCAGTATCTGGCCTTCTAAAGAGCAGTCAGTGTTGATCTCTTCTAGGACTGACCAGTTTGATCACCTAGAAGTCCAAGGGACTTGCAGGAGTCTCCTCCAGCACCACATAGAAACATAGAAACAGAGCGAGTCAGAAGGGGCCTCCCGGGCCATCTAGTCTGACCATCTAGTCTGACCTCTGGCACCAGCCAGCTCCGCTCACGACATGCCCACCATGTGGACGTCCAGCCTATCCTTGAACACCCGCACCGATGGGGCCTCAACGACCTCTGGTGAAAGCCCATTCCACACCCTCGGGGTCCTGACTGTCAGGAAGTGCTTCCTGGCATCCAAATGGAACCTTGGCTCCCTGAGCTTTGCTTCATTGGAGCGTGTCCTGCCTTCCTCTGCAGGGGAGAACAGGTCTCTACCCATCTCCATGTGACATCCCCTCGCATACCTGTATGTCGCCAACATATCCCCTCTGAGTCTCCTCTTCTCCAGGCTGAAGAGACCCAGTTCCCTCAGTCTCGCCTCATATGGCATCCCCTGCAAACCGGCCGCCAACCTTGTGGCCCTACGCTGCACTGACTCCAACCTGGCTATATCCTTTCTGTAATGAGGGGCCCCAAACTGAACACAATACTCCAATTGCGGGCGCACCAGAGTCGTGTAGAGTGGTAGTAATACCTCTCTTGATCTAGAAGCCACACTTCTGGCTATGCAACCAAGGGTGGCGTTCGCCCTCTTGACCACCGCATCACACTGCTGACTCATGTTTAGCCTGCAGTCAACCAGTACCCCGAGGTCCCTTTCACAAGTGCTGCTCTCCAGCCACTTATCACCTAACCTGTACTTATGACAGCTATTCCTATGCCTCAGGTCTAGCACTTATCCACATTGAACACCATCGTGTTGTCTCCTACCCACTTCCATAGTCTGTCCAGATCTTTTTGGATCTGGAGTACCTGCTCCTCAGTTGTGGTCACTGCTCTACTAGATCTCTCTCTATTATGAGCCTTTCCATTATTTTTCCTACAATGGACGTAAGGCTAACCGTTCTATAATTCCCCATGTCCTTTCTACTACCCTTTTTGAAAATTGGGACCACTGATGCCACCCTCCAGTCCTCTGGAACTTCACCTGTTCTCCACGAGGTCTCAAAAATGGAGGCCAGTGGGCGTGAGAGAACCCCTGTCAACTCTCTACATACTCTCGGGTGTAACCCGTCAGGGCCTGGCGCCTTTGTAATATCAAATGCCCTGAGGAGCCCCTCGACTTCTAATCTGTGCCCCTAAGTCCCCAGCCTCATTAATCTCCTATGCGGATATCCCCTGTCCTGCTTGGGGGAGAACACAGAGGCAAAATAGTCATTTAGCATCTGTGCCTGTTCCCTCATATCAGTCACTGGATCTCCTTCCTCCTTATTTAGTGGTCCCACCACTAGTCTCCCCTTCCTCTTCCTATTTGCATGCTGAAAGAAGCCCTTTTTGTTGCTCTTGATATTCTT